ACTTGTCTATTTGTAAATATTACAAATACGAAAGTTACGATGGATGTTTGTTAGAGTTTGTAGCCTAAACGGCTGAACGGATCTCCGTGAAATTTGGCACAGGTTTAGAGTATAGTCTGGAAGAATGTTTTCGGATAACTCTTTTTTAATAAAAAGCCCTACATTTACGTCACGCATTTGGCTATATATTTTCACGCCATTAAACTAAGGGGGTAAACATTTTGGAGAAAACCCTAATGTGGGAAAGAGACCATAAGTTGCTGCCAACATCAAGAAAGAAAGATTGCCAAGTTTTTTGCTATTGATAATATGACAAATGTAAACAATAAAATAAAATTTTCATAATTTCATGCCGACAAAGCGGCACGACCAATGAAATAAAATTTCCAAAAACATATTAATGATATAAAAATAATTTTTGGCAAAAAGAAGTCTCAGCTAAGATGATGAGGTGGTTACATTATAGGCAGTTTGAAAGCGCCAGTGGTAGAAAAATTGAGAAGCAAAAGGTTAGCGATAGAAATAGTTAAGAATGAATGTGGATGGCTACAAAGAAAAAGGAAGACCAAAGAAAGTATGGATGGATTGTGTGAAAGACGATATGCTTAAGAAAGGAGTGGATTTAGATATGACGGCTGAAGATGTATCGTTACGTTAGCGCGAAATTAAAAAAGTAGCCTATAATATGCCTGTCTGTGTCTACCCTTCAGTGAAAATCCGGTCGTAATTGTCCGAAAAAAGAATCAAATACTAAAATTAAGTTTATTTAAATAAATAAAATGACGTTTACAAATTTAATTTAATTTTAATGTTAAATTTGTAACAGATGTGTGGACGAGATCAACCAGGGTATGGACGCAATCAACGAGCGGAAGATGTTCCAATTATTGGTGCAGGTCACCACCGAGTGCGACAACGCACAATACTTCCTGCTCACCCCCAAAGTTAGTACATCTTTTATATCATAAAATGGCAAATGAGCAAGTCCCCCGAAACCGCCTAAATGGCGAAGCGACTGCTCATAGACATCCTTAATCGACCCTCCGTCGATCCGTCGTCCTTTTAATGTGCGTCTCCTCAGACGCACATTAAAAGCATATTTCCCCTTCCTATGCGTCTCCTCCACCGTCAAATCCACATTTCCTTCCCATCCTTTCAAGGATATAGTTTATCAATAGATATAGTTTATTGTAAAATTATTAATTTTTATTATTTCAGTTATTAACAAATCTGGAATACAATTCGAAGATAACTGTTCATACTATAATGAATGGTCCTCATGTAATGCATTACAGCAAATGGAAACGCCAACAATTTGTTGAAAACGCAAGAAAATACATGGAATCTCAGTAAGTATAAACCGTTATGAAGGTTTGACTGTTCACTTTATAAGCTATACGTCGCAAAGTAACGTGGAATTTTTAAAAAAAGCTTGTTAATAACATTCCCGTATGTATTAGCTATCTCCCAGTGAAAATCCCGTTAAAATTGGTCTAACCGTTTCCGATATTACTTGTAACAAATACGACTTGAAGAAAAGACACTATTTTTAAATGCAATTTCGTTTGCAATGCAAATAATTCAAGAAATCTGTTTTTTTATTTCGATTACAGACTGTAATTGTATTAATAAGCTACATTTAGTTATTTTTAATTTAAAGAAGTAAAAAAAAACTGACCTGAAAAATATTTTTATTTAAATAAAAATAACCGTATTTTAAACGATAGTAAAATTACCGTGGACCAATATTGACTACGTTATTGTAGCCTTTCAAACATACCAAAAAATTAAAACCATGAGTACACTGATATCCACAAACTATTGTTTTCTCTGTTCTTCTTATAAAGAATGAAAGAGAGGATGTTTTTACAAATCTGCAGTGAAAATTGTTAAGTACTCGTTAGGGCAAGTTTTTATGGTTAGTTTTTATTGTATTTGATTGTACAAACTATTTTGATAATTTAGTGTTAAGTTTTATAGAAACATCCTTATGTTTGTGTTATTTCAATTATGTTTTAAATAAAACATTTTTATAAGCGTTTGTTTTTATTTGTCATACATATTGTAAAAGTATAAAAATGACAGTATTACATTAATTGCCCACTAAATTATGTTAATTTATAAGTGGAATTTGTTAAATTTATTTTAGTATTTATTGTATTTTATTTGTATAATAGAATGTATTTTTGTAACAAGAATTGCAGCCAAAGAACAAAGCTTAAAGAAATCTAGACAAGACGAATAACGATGGCATAGATAAAAAAATTACAGTTTAAACATGTCAAAGAGTAGATACGTCAAAGATTAAGCATATCAAAGAGTAGATACGTCACAGATTAAACATATCAAAGAGTAGATACGTCACAGATTAAACATATCAAAGAATAGTACGTCACAGATTATGTAATGAAATAGATATGCCATGTTGCTGTTATTCTCTTTGTTAATGTTTAATTGGTCATTTGCACGCCTCTCCCAGTCCATTGCTCGTCCAGTGCGACGTCACACTCAAGGTCTCTGAGTGCGGATTTAATATCGAAGCCGAACTCCTGCCCGAAAGTCGCATACGTGTTGTTCAATATTTCTTCAATGCCGAGCTCTTTGAACTTGCTGTTGTAATCGCGACATCTAGCGACCATGTTGCGAATCGCCCAGCAGCCATTTTTCTGGAAATTGTCATGTTTTATGATTAGATTAACATCACTTAGGTAAGTAAAATAATTGGAGTTAATGTTAGTCAGCAAGACCTGGTGAATTTTGTTAGTGTCGTAAGCGTAGGTCTTTTTATCAAAAAAAATATTTTTAAATATAGTTAGTTATTGCTGACCTAACAAAGCAGTGTGTGTTTATGTACCTGCACTGCGGCGTTGTTCGGGTGCAGCTTGAGGCAGTAAGCCAGCGGCTCCGGCGCGCCGCAGTCCAGCAGCTGGCGCGCGTGCGCCGGCTCGCGCAGCGCCAGCGCGGACACGCACCGCAACGTCTGCGCCGTTACTGACGCGTTACTCTGAAAAAACCTTCGTTTCTTACACTTGTACTATAAGCGTAACTATAAAACTTTAAGGGCCTGTTCCACCAAATTATAATTGGATTTTGTTACCTTATCTGATATTGACTTTTTAAGCCGTCAGAGCCTTTATCAGCCAGTGGTGGGACAGGCTCTAAACAGTCGTGATTTTTTTTCTTTTTATATTGTGTTTTGTATTTTGTTTCTGTATGTTTAATTAAGTACAGCCAGAATGCGGAATGCGTGACTCATAGTTGGACAATCGAAGGCTAGGTTAAAAAACCTAATTGGATATTTATAAGAGTTAAAATTTGTCTCGTTACTAAAACAAAACAATCTAAAAATATTATATACGGTGCTACGCGGGTTTCCACAACTGTACTTTTAACTTTGCTGATATATATTTTTTTTTATACTACAATTGAATTCTAAAAAGCTGAACGGATCTCGATGCAATTTAGCCCAAACGTTGAAAACAGTCTGGAAGAAGACATAGACTACATTTTTTTTTAATCCACGAAGACGGAATCATGAATTAAACCTAGTATTACTATGAGTATAAAAAAACTTACTGCAAATCTGTCGAGCAATGACACAATGATGGGGACAATGCCGCTCTGCACGAGCTGCCGTTTGACGTCATCGTTACCAGACATCGCTGTTATCCTGATACAAAACAAGGTTGCCATAGAAACAAACTATAAAATCAATACTGGCAACCAAACACAACGTTTAATTAATAGACATTTTTGCATTCTCTTGCGGAAAGACAATACATTTTTATAGACAAAGAAATAACTAGAAGAAAAAAATAGCTTTTAGTGTTATATCAATACAGTGTTAAACGTGAGTTTCTAGAAAATCCAAGAAATGGCTGCAATCCAAAATGGAGATTATCTGTCATTCAGCGACAACAATACAGAATTAAAAACATTACAATACTGGCAGGAACAAAATGAAAATGTACTAAAAGGTGGTATTATTGGTGAAACAGATCATAATACGGCTATCACTAAAAACTGCATAATCAAAGTAAATCAGATATCTTGTAACGATTTCAGTGATAGTACTGATCAATTAAGACATAGAGCAAGACATATAAACTATTGGAAAACTGAATTAGAAAGAGCTTTAAGGGACATTGACGGAGAAATTAACATATTAGAAGCATTAAGACAACAATTAAAAAACGCTATTGATACGTTAAAAATACCAGAATATATAACAGAGGAATGTTTAAATCTACGACGTAATAGAATGGAAACAGACGCAATATACGATGAACCACAAGACGCATTATTCAACGAAGCAGTTCTTATAGGAAACGTTAAAAGATTACATAACGATGCGTTACGAGAAATAGAAAATCAAATGAGAATGAATTTAGCTGCTAAAAATGCATTAGAAAGGGATTGGAGTAACAAACATTTAGCGTTTAAATACGAGAGTAATAATAGTGAACTGAAAACGAAATCGGTTAATGTTAAAGAAACTTCAGGTGCTACTAGACTATCGGAAGGGCAATCTGATGTCGAAACTTGGGAACAATTCACACTATCAGGTTTAAATCAATTCAAAAGTGCGATGGATAAATCAAAAGAACTAAGAACAAAAATCGATGCTGTACTTATAAATACTGCAAGGGATTTACGTTCACAAGACATAAAAGTCAATAAAGCATTAAGTGATAGAATCGCTCGCACTCAACAAGTAAAAACTGAATTAGAAAATCAGCTAAAACTGACGTTAGAAAAGATAACAGAGACGGAGAATATTCTGGAAACACTACATGAGGAGGTATTGAAAATATCACAACGGATTCAAGTTGCTCAAACGAGATTGAACACTAAACACATACGTCCTAACGTTGAAAATTGTAGAGAAGGATCACTTTTCGGTCTAATAGACGAAGTTAAAGATTTAAACGCTAGTATGTCATTACTAGAAAATAGGATAATCGAAACAAGAAAAATAAAATCTGATTTAATACAAGAAAGATCTAAAATAGAAAATGAGATTATAGTTAAGAAGAAATCTCTATACATTGATAACGAAAGGTGTTTATTTATAAGATCGCATTATCAATCTGCTGAGAAATTGTGTGGTTTTTGATTTTTAAATTTTACTACTTCCATGTATTGTAATTTATGCTTTGATCTTTGAAATAATGATTTTTAATACTTCACATCAGGCGTAATAGTCACTTAGAATTAATATTACGTTTCCATGTAAAAAAGTAATGTTAATTTTAAAAAATAAAGTGCACAGAGACGGACAATTCTTTCCATCTTTATTCCAGCAATCAAAACTGGTATTCCAGCTACAGGCATTAATATTCACATGCCAGTATATCAACGAGACGTACGTAAACGTACTAGAAGTGTCAGTATGAAATTGACAGTTGCATGTAGCTGTCAAAGGCAAGTAAGCTAGTATGCCAGGTATTGGCAGAGACTCACAGGCCTGTAGCTGGCATATTCCAGTTCACAAGCAAGTGCATCATCTGACACAAACGGCCACCGGAATTCGCTGAAAAGGCGATCGGTGCCCATAGACATCCGCAATTGCAGATGTGTTGCCTATCCTTAATAGGAAGAGACTCCTGTAAAGAGGATATTCCCTTCCTATACGTCTTACGCCATCAAGTCCATTTTCCCTACCTTTCCCTGAATCAAATAACTTTGACGTTAGTATTAACTATAAATTAGGGTACATTTATTAAACAAAATAAAACGATGGTAAGGAGTAAAAGGTTACAAGATGGGCATGTTATGAGGGATGAATCGCATAATACAAAGTCGTTCATTACGAGTGTATACTGTTAGAAGACTTAGAAAGAGATGGATTCCGTGAAAGGTGACATGAAGAAGGGAGTGATGATGATGAAATGTATACTAACAGTTTGGTGGCATGATGCACCACGATGACGTCATCGTAGTTGTCAGCGAGTACCGCGAACAGCGCCGCCGCGCCGCGCTCCGCCGCCAGCGCGCACAGCTCGTGTCGCACGAGCAGACACGCGATCGTACTAACAACATCGCTTACTAACGGCGGCTTCGTATTATCTACATCAAACGTTTCTATAGCATTTTTTCATATCATAAGGTGGCAAAGCGAAGCGAGTGCCCAGACATTCGCAATAGGCAATATGCATATGACGCCAAATTGTACCAAACTTTCTTTAAGAATACTTTATTGCTATAAAAACATTCCTACATAATTTTTTTTAAATGTAATGTGATTTAGTGGCATAATTTAATCATTAAAATGTGTCTTTTTTAAAATTCCCTCTCTTCGTTCTAAAACTCATACTATTGGTCGAAGCAAGTGGCTTATCTAAAATGGCGTCGCTGTGTTGTTAATACACAGTTAATTTACGTTAATTTATATAGAAATCACTAGATCAATCACATTTATAACTATTTGTATTTATCTTTTAATTGGTTATAACTTTTATTGTTAATTATTAATCTGTTTTCAATCAATTTCAATTTCAATTTCAAATACACTCTGGAAGTATTTTACTGCAAACACGATATCAAAACCAACTTTAAAAAAATAATAAATAGAATTATTAATTACCACTTATTTGTACCAGGAATAATAAAAATGAATCGATTTTTGACTTTTTGACCTTGAGGAGCAATGAGGTACTTTGTTGTTTATTACATCGAAGTGACATCTGAGCGTATGTTATGTATGGAATAGGACGATTGACGTAGATTGTCTCACGTCAACTCCGTCGCGTTTTAGTCGCTCGAAAATGGTCGTAATTTTATTCTATTATTTTAGCTCAATGGTTGAACATTTTTACGTCAATTTTATTTCTGGTTATTTTATAACAAGGAGAATCGTTTAAAAAAAGAAAAAAAAATACATGCATATTCCCTATTATGGTTGGACCCTTCATCGATGGAGGAGACCCACATTAAGAGAATGTTTCCCCGTCTTATGTGTCTCCTGCAACGTTAAATCTACATTCCATTCCCATTCTTATAAGAAATATTATTTTTAATCTATTTATTACTAGCTGTTGCTAGCCACTTCGCTCGTGAAATTAAAAAAATATAGCCTATGTTACTCATAGAATGACCTTTCTGACAGTGAAAGAATGTTTAAAATCGACCCAGTAGTTGTTAGGTTATGTCAATACATATAATACAAATCTTTTCTCTTTACAGTATTAGTATAGCACTTACTTTCAAGTAGCCTTGTCAATGTATCGAGCAATTCCGCTCCGAGTTCGCGAGCATGTTCGTGAGCTTTGCCGAACTCCACACGAACGTCGTCATCTAAAGTTAATTTCCTTATGACTTGTAGACATTCACTTAATAACTGTAAAATATTTATGTATATTCACCACAATTAAATCTAAAAGCAAGGCTTAAAATAATTTTTGTCCGAGAAGGAAATATCTTATTGTCCCCTCCTCTGTAAGGTAGGTAACAGCCAAATAGTTCAGTCAACTACATAAATATGTTGCAATTACAGAACTGCAGAATATTCTATACAATATTGGTTATACTATATTATTCAAGGTCGGAAGCGTACGGACAGATAAGTCCATACAAATGATTAAAATCAAACACATAATGTAGTTTCTAAATTTTGTTAAGGTGTACATATTTATGTAGCTGACTGTACTATAAAAATTACTTTATATTGAATGTTTATTTTAGCTCAATTTAACATTTGTCAATATTATTTTAAACTAGCTTTAACCGGCAACTCTTCATCTGCGTAGATATAAAATAATCAAAGCTAAGCAATGTGTTCTTCCATCTGTTCCAAATTTTATCAAGATCTGTTCAGCAGTTTAGGCTACAAACTAATAAACATCCATTTAAACTTTCACATTTGTAATATTACTAGTTTTCGCCAGTGACTCCATCCGCGTGGAATTAAAAAAAAACTAAGTAGCCTATGTGTTCTCCCAGACCATACTCTACATCTGTGCCAAATTTCATCGAGATCCACTCAGTTGTTTAGGCTACAAACTCTAACAAACATCCATCCAAATATACTTTGGCATTTATAATATTAGTAAGAAGTAAGAAGTAAGATTACTCACCTCTATATTTTTACTTTTATTCAATATATTGTTCAAATTCCGTCCAATTCCAGTACCAAAGATCATCTGTCTGTTCATCTCATGTTTAACACAACACACTGATGTCCATTTTAAGGTTGCTATTAGTATTGATTCTTCCTCTATTTCATCTAGATTTCTATAACAAAAAACATGAAAACATAGTACTGTTGTGACCCATATTGGGTCTTGGTTAGACAAAAGGTAAAATAATCAAATTAAACTAAACACATTTCGCCATTACTAACTTACGCCCGCGACTCCGTACGCATGGAATTAAAAAAAGAAGCCTACGTGTTCTGCCATACTATCTTCTACATCCATACCAAATTCCATCGAAATCTGTTAAGCAGTTAAGACTACAAACTCTAACAAACATCCATCTAAACTTTCGCGTTTATAATATTAGTATGATTAACAATTATATTGTAACATTGTTAAGCACCAATATCCTAATGGTTTGGGGTACGGACTACCGATCTTGTGGTCGAGGGTTCGAATCCCGCCATTTGATTATTGTGTATTATATCCTAGCACAAGCCTAGAGCTTAGTTAAAATGGTTAAAGGTAATATTAGTAAATTTACAAAAATATACCAATAATAAAAAGAAGGATTTGTCATATTTTATCAATGGAATATTTAAATAAAAAAAAGCTGTATAAAAACTGGCAATGAAATAAAACAATACCTTTTAATTATTGCAACACCTTTTCTGTCCAGTAAATCAGGTTGTGATTCCATTAAAGAAACAAATGTATTTAATATTTTTATTATAAAAGAAGAATCTTTTACATTATTGATCTTTAGATAAGATTTCTGTTTAGCTTCAAGTAAATTTATCAGAACAGTATAACAACCCTCTTTGCCTGCTTTCACTCTATGGGCAATATCTTTATTGCATTCTGTCTGAAAAATAGAAAAAAATCTCTTATAATTCATCATCACAAGCTCACTATACAGCCCTATTAAGGGGCTTGGAGCTTACTCTAAGTAAGGGTTGACCAGGACTTAGTTAACCGCACTAGCTCACTGCAAGTTGACTTCACACATATCTTTGAATTTCTTCACCAATATGTGCAAGTGTCACAATGTTTTTCTTCTCCGTAAGAATGTCGGGTATATTACATACATATGGAATTAATAAAATTACATTGGTACAGCGGGTTTCGAACCCTGGACCTGTGAGTTACAAGTCAAGTGCTCAAATCCCTGAGCCACCAACACTTAAACTCTGTCTCTCTTACATGCATCAACTCAGGACTATTGTATATATTGTTTTTTTTTTCTACTTGTGGTGCTGCAATTAATTTACTATAATAATTAATAAATAGTAATGAAAATACTGAAAGATTAGAGTAACTTAATATATCATTTACTTAATTCTTAGAAAATATTTACCATCAAAATGTCCAATTGCTCTAGGATATGTTCTTCATTATTTTGTACAGCATTTGACAATTCCTTAAGTTTTTTAACGGTTGAACTCACTAAATGCTCCTCACCGGAGTTCAAATTTAGCTCTTTGATAATGTTGGATAAATCCACACCCTGTATGTGAGAAAATTGATTAACATATTAGACATGTTGACTTCCTTTAATATTCATAGATGATTTGTTTGTTTCTATTTTCTTGCAAGGGTGTATTTTAACTCTATTTCTATAAATCTAAGTATTAAAATATTGAAGATTGTATAAAATTATGTTAAGAAAAATGTATGTAATTTCCAACCTGTGCTTCAAACTGAGCTATTGCCTCTTTTACAGCCTCCTCTGGGCTCATATCAAATTCATCCATATTCTCCTTAACAACCTCATCGTAAGTCTCTTGAGTTATCACACGAACCATTTTTAATAATCTTATGAAGTATTCTTATTTATTTAATTCATGAACAAAAGTTTATTACTGTAAATCTAATTTAATCGAACAGCCGGTGATTCACAGAAGTTTTGAAATTAATATTCTTTTTGACATTGACAATTGTCAGTTTTCAAATTGTCATGTTTATTGGACGTTGACAGAGACATGTTTTTCCATACCATCTCAAAAGTGATCTTTTGTTTACTCAAATAACTTTGAACTGTTGAGCTGAGGCTCAACAAATTAATTAGCTACTCACGGCTCAACCCCATCGCCATTGACCATCGAAAATGATCGAAAATAGAATATAGGCCTATCAAACATTAAATAAGTGCGTGTGAATCTCTAAAATCGTAATTTAAAATTAAAACATAAAGTATGAATTGGTATGAATATCCGAACAGGACGATTTGACAGAACGAAATCAGAATTTCGTTCTGAAACTCCCCTTCTTGAATTTATTTAGTCGAGGTACAATTGTTATATTTTCCTTATTTAAAAAAGACAGAAAATGCCTCTGTAATTATCTCTTTTAAAATGAATTATTAATAACTTATTTTGATATCTATAGCTTTTACAGTTTTGACAGAACAGATAACAATTGTATTTTGATTTGACCGTGTTTCCTGATTTCCTCGTTTCTCGCTATTGCAGATTGTGGATGACGCATACTCATAAAATAAAGGTGTAATTTGTTATTGAATACGTATTATTTAGTTTTTTCGTAATATAGAATCGTAGCATAGTAAGTGTACACAATGAGTTTTCTTGGTAAGTTATTCGGTGGCAAGAAGGAAGAAAAGGGACCTACGACGCATGAAGCGATACAAAAATTACGTGAAACAGAGGAGTTGTTGCTAAAAAAGCAAGAGTTTTTGGAGAAAAAGATCGAACTGGAAATACAGACAGCTAGGAAAAATGGAACAAAGAACAAAAGGGGTAAATTCCAAACTTTTATTTAGTCCAAATACATTTTTCATCTTTTGTTGACATGCTAATGACCTTGTTTCATATAATTAATTGTTGTGTCATCTAGTTTATTGTTCTATTACGTTTAACTATTTAAATTAAATCTACTGTTATGTTTCTTCTAACATACAAGTTCCTTCTAACATTTTATTATAAGGATATCCTTTTTTTTTAAACTATAACTATAACTGTAACCAATCTAAATGGACCACAGCACTAAAGTTTACACTATGTATTTACTTTTAGCTGCTATTGCTGCACTCAAGCGTAAGAAGAGGTATGAAAAGCAGTTGACACAGATTGATGGTACACTAACACAAATAGAAGCACAGAGAGAGGCTCTAGAGGGTGCCAATACTAATGCACAGGTCCTCAACACAATGAGGGAGGCAGCTAATGCAATGAAACTGGCACACAAAGATATGTAAGTGAAACAAGAAAATCAATTTAGGTGTTACTACTAAATCAGCCCAGTAATCTTTGAGATATTTCAATAGATACAAAAATATAAATCTTTCCTCTTTATAATAGCCTTACAAATAAATGTGGTATAAAGTTAAACTTAAGAATAAACTGAGTATAAACAAAGTTTGCCTAAAAAAAAGGAGTATGCCTAAGTTTAACTTTATACTGTGTTTATTTGTAAAGCTTTTATTAATAGGAAAGATTTGTATTTTTGTATGTATTTAGATATCTCAAAAATTACTGGACTGATTTTAATAATAAATAGCTGTCGTCACATAGTAAATGAGGATAGGAAGATAGGAAAAGACATTTTTAAATACAGAATATCTAAGAATAGTTTCTTGTTTCAGTGATGTTGACAAGGTGCATGACATAATGGACGATATCGCAGAACAGCATGATATATCGCGGGAAATCACTGATGCTATCAGCAACAATGTTGCCTTCCCCAACGATATCGATGAAGATGAGCTGGAGAGGGAACTGGAGGAGTTGGAGCAGGTAAGTCACTATATTATGGTTTTCCATCATCAGCTAAAAAGTGACAGATTGACATTTAGGTTCCAGTGTGGCTTCACATGAAATTATAAAAACTTTATTTTATTGTTTACATGTACGAAGTTTAGTTCAGTTTCTTGTCTATATCATTCCACAGCGGATTGGGCCAATATATGAAATTTTCAATTGCAAATATCAAAATTCAAATGCACAAATGATAATAAAGGCCTTTGTCATTGGATAACAAATACCTCAATGTCAGCTTGTAGTTTATGATCTCTTTCCTACAAATATTTTTACAATTTATTTACCCCCTAAGTTTAATACTATTAAATAGCTTTAAGAGTGTTGTAAGTGTAGGGCTTTTCAATAAATTAGGAATTTTTAAAAACATGCTATGATTGCTGCCATACAAGCCACAAAGTAGCGTGTGTTTACACTTCATTGTTTTATTATAGGAAGGGGAAATGTCCTCTTTATGTCCTCCGTTGATTAAGGGTAGGTAACGCATCCGTTATTGCGAATGACTATGGTCAGTGGTCGATTCGCCATTTTGGCAGATTCACTTGGCCGATTGCTCGTTTGCCATCCATAATATTTAAAAAAAACTTTAGTGTTAATCTTTTTCCCTTTATATTAATGTATGCGGTGTTCCTTCCAGGAGGACCTGGACAAGGAGATGCTGGGCATCAACGTGCCCACGGACACGTTGCCCGACGTGCCCGCAGCGGAGCTCGTGCATGACAAGCCTAAGCCCGCACGCACCAGAAAAGACGGTCAGCCATCCATATACATAGCCATACATTGCCATACGTAGCCATATACAGCCAAACATTGCCATACCAATGTATGTATGGCAAACCATACATTGCCATACATAGCTATACATTGCCATATACTACCATACATAGCCGTAAATTGCCACTCATTGCCATACATTGCCAGACATTATCATATAATGCCATACATGTTACAAATCAACACACTCTATATACATAACTTTTATAATCATAAAATTATTAAACTACCTTTAGCCCGCGACTTTCTCCGCGCGGAACTTAAAATAAGGCTTTTTCTTGTAATGGCCACTAAAATTTATGTTTAATACAGAAAATTTGCGTTTTGGTTTGCTTTTATTGATATTTGATAAATGTATTGGTGAAATATATTTGATAATTTATTGTGCATTTAAAATTTTTATTTTTACAATGTGTATTTGTCAATTGTCAATTTGGTCATTTTATTTATTATTAACTAGCTGTTGCCTGGGATTTCATCCGCTTGAAATTAAAAAGAATAGCCTATTTTACTCACAGATAAATTACATTTCTAATGGTTAAAGAATTTTTGAAATCGGCCCAGTAGTTTTTGAGTTATTTCAATATGTACAATACAAATCTTTCCTCTTTATAATATTAGTATATAAGTAATATAGCTTTCGCCCGCGACTCTGTCTTCCGTATTATGCTTTACACTTTGCAAAATTTAATCGAGATTCGTTTAACCATTTACGTTACAAATTCTAACAAACATCCATCCAGCTAAACTTTCACAATAATATAAGTAATGAAAATAAAATCCTAATTGTAATTGTAAATATTTGTTTTTTTTTCAGAAGAAGACGAGGAACTGGCTAAGCTACAGTCGTGGGCCACATAGAGTAGCGCTGTCTACCCTAAAACGGCTTAGTTGTATGTTTGTGATATTTTCAATAACCAATCGAGTACTGAAGCTTTTTATCTTTTCAATTAAAGAATGTGTGATTTTTTTTTAAATAAAACAAATGATTCGGTTCACAAAAGAGCTTAACTTTAGGCTATTATGGGTAAAAAAAAAATTTTTTGACAGATAAAATTTGGCGCCGAAAATCTGAATGCGCCATTTTGTTTTTTGTTTTATTAAAAGATTCACACATTTTGATGTCATCATATTTATTTAGTTTTCATTGTATATATGCGTAAAAAATGTTGTGTTTAAGTTCCGAATTACAAAAAATTAAAGCTTCAAGTAATTTTCAAATATCTTCCACGGTATTTAAATGTTCACACTAGAATAGGTTTTTTTTTAATTAGACTTGGTCAAAAACTAAAAAAAAATAATAGGAAAAATTTAAGTAAATGTTACTCAATATTATTTTTTTGTGTATCCAATATGTAAAGATTTTTTTAACATTTTGAGCAGTATTGCTATTATAACAAAAAATATGGTAAAAACATAGAGAAATGCAAAAAACTTTTTTTAATTACTACAGTAACCAGAAAAATTGCGCCTTAAAAAATCCTTGTTAATATTTTTTGCTGATTTTTTTTGGTTGAAAAATATTTTATTTTTTATATTTAACTGTACTTTTTATTTATATATAAATTTTTTGTAACTAATATAATACGAGGTTATAAAACGTATAAATTGCAAAATCATAATAAACCGCATAAATATATTTAAATGAATTTGCCTTACGCTTTTTAGGATAAATATTGAAAGTTACTAATATGGTAAATCGTATTTATGTAACAAACTTAGTTACTTAAGTAACTTAAATACACATAAGTACAATCATAAAAAAAATATAAAAAGTAACTATATAAAACTAACATTAAAAACATCGCTACATAACATTTTACAATGTGACAGTTGTCAAAATGTTAATGGATTTAATCTAAGGGCCTCTCCCACCACTGTCTGATAGAAGCTCAGATAGCTTAAAATTTCACTGTCAGGTAAAGTAACAAAATCCGATATTTCCATCACATATTTTACACGTTGGATTGTTAAACAATTTACAATTTGGTGGGACAGGTCTTATTTACCATATTTAAATGTCGTTTCAGTAATCGTAAAATGCGTAAAAAATGACGAAAAAAACTATAAAATGTACTTGTTAAAGTAAAATTTGTAAGGAAAAGTTAAAAATCTCATTGAATTTTTGTTTTAAAATTTACTGGCGCTTATTTTTAACTGAACAGTCTAACCGATGAGTTAACTACACGTAGGTTTTAACTGTCAGTTGATCTGTTCAGTTAAAATTTGCCAACATGCCCAATTTTTACTGAAAACTTCGACTTTTCAGTTAATACTGAACCATTAGCTGACTTAACAGTTTTAACTGACCTTACAATTGAAACTTTGCATACAAATAAACGCGGTATAAAGTTAAACTTAGGAATAAACTGAGTATAAGCAAAATTTGTACATATATTTACTTATACTAAGTTTATTCCTAAGTTTAACTATATACCGCGTTTATTTGTAATATTTTGTCTACACGGGCAAAGATCTAAATGGACGATTAGCCTAGTTTAAACTGTTATGCAGGAGACGCACATAAAGAGGATATTCCCCTTCCTATGCGTCTCCTCCACCGTCAAATCCACTTTTCCTTCCCATCCTTTCCTCTTAAGAAAATGGTGGAAAGGGAAAGGGACTTAAATTAGGCCTCCGGCACCACACTCATCAGACGAAACGCGGAATTGCTTCCACTTCACGCCTGTCTTTAAGTTATTTACGGGACGTGAAATAGTTTTTTAAATGAATTTTCTTACTGATTGTACATATGTGCATATAAGATGCTAGAAAAAGAATCAACTAAGTTTGTAACGCAATGTAAATTCACTGCCGAAATTCGTAACCTGTACTAGCTGTTGCTCGCGACTTCGCCCGCGTGAAATTAAACAACAATACAAAATGTAGCCCATGTTACTCATAGTTAAATTACCTTTCTAAAGGTGAAAGAATTTTTAAAATCGGCCCAGTAGTTTTTTCGTGAATCGAAAAAAAATACAAATCTTTCCTGTTTATAATATTAGTATAGATGTGCTATCTCTTTTTTTCATATAGAAGGAAAGAGATGTCTATATTTTTGGTTTTTCGGCAGTGGACTTACAAATTGGTTTGTGAGAATTTTCATCAGTTAATGGGTAAATTGTACTCTATTATAATGCATTAGAGATTCAATTCCCTTGTACTTTGATGGGTGATTTTTATCACAGAGTAGTATGTAACATGTAAACTTTTTTATATATTACAATAAATATTTTAAAGAATTGTCTCTTACATTTCAGTGACACTGAGAATAAAAGTTTGTGGTCCTCGAACGTAATGTTGCCAGGATCGACTTAAAAGTTCATTAAAACTCGCAGTGTTGCAATAATTAAAAATATGTATGATATTGCGTTTTAGGGAGGTTATAATTAAGCTGTACTAACTTGTGCATATTGGTTTAATATATTTTATTTTAGGAAAAATGTTTGTTTTATTCATACCTTATTACACTTTTGATAATCTTAATTTTATAAACTAGCTTTCGCCCGCGACTCCGAACGCGTGGAATTAAAAAAATTAAGATGTCTTCAGACTATCCTCTACATCTAAGCCAAGTTTAATTCAGATCCATTTAGTAGTTTAGGCTACAAACATCCATCCAAACTAGCATTTACAATATGATTAAGATATGAAACTGTAGATGGGTAGATGTTAGTATCTCCAAAACAGCTAATTGAACCTCAATAGAATTTGTCACAAATGTAGAACATAATCTGGGAAAACATACTACTGAGATTTTAAGAAGTAAGCTATTTTGCCCCAATTGAATAATAATATAACTAATCTTGTTCACTTAAATAACCTCAAATATTCGTCTTATTGAAATTATCGAATTATAATAATAATGGCTGGTATTATTTATGTATTTTATTATTTATTATTCTATTTATAATTAAAAACCAGTCAGACAAAACCCGGAGACAAATTAATTTTAAAAAGAAATTAATATAACAACAATCTTTTGAAACGGTGTCAGCCTACTTACAATGATTTTACAATTCACGTAGCGTATTTTGATGCGAGGTACTATTATTTAATAATAATTATTATTCATTCGGCATACTAGCTACAATATGTTGACAGTGATTGATTATTAAATCAAGCGATTTCTTTTAATAAACTTTTGTATTGGTCCGTTTATATTTGTAATTAATTTTAAATGCTGCAGCAAAAATTAAATAGCTTAATAATTTCACTAACTATTATAACTACACAGAAGTAATTAAATTGAAAGCAAACAAATCCGGCGGAACATGATAGTAATCCTTGAATAATTATTATGTAATTGCCCTTAACTTGTATGCGTTCACGTAATGTAATCAAACGATTATTTCAAATGATTATGAACCTTATGTCTAACTGATTTAATGTAGATATTACTGTAAGCTTTACTTTTTGGAAGCAAAAATGTGTACTTTAAAAACATAATTTATCAACAGAATTTCGGTCATAACTTTAAGGAATAAAGTCGTTATTTCTTTGTAATTAAGGATTGCATATCCCTGCGTAAACGTTGTGCGAAATTTCGTATTGATAATAATTGTGATTCATCGGACGCCGCTAGCCTTGCAGGTAGAATTTTGATAAATACGACTTTCCCTTGAAGGGTTATTCTGGATAACGATTGAACTACGAACTAACTGCGAATCAGATGAGATGGTAACTCTTAGTTAATAAATAGTACTACACGAGTTTTCTTATTGGGTCGCTAGTTTTTATTGTAGTGTAGTGTAGTGTCCTAGCTCTAGGATCAATGGCATGGCTTGGGTGGCAAGCTGTAAATGGTAAGTCAATTTATTAAGTACAAGTAGGTTGAATAAAAAGAATACTTTGGAAGACAAAAACTAGTGCGGACCTTATATAACGTGTAAAAAGGCCAAAAATAATGAATCGTAATTCTTAAGTTGTTTAATAGCATAAAGTGATTTGAGCTCTATCGTTATTTAGAATCAGAATAAGCCTGTTATTAGTTAATTTGCATTACGCGCCTAGTCTATATGAAGGATTGGTGAGGCGCAGCGTCAGTCTTCAGTCTCACCGGGAATACTACGCGGCCCATCATGAATATTGCTATATTTGTGAGTAAAATATAATAAGCCCTAATATATTTTAATACAAAAATGTTGAGTGCAAAATTTCAAACATTTTTCGACATTAAATTAAGAATATTTCTTTGGTTTCATCATATATTTCTAACACTTTAATTTAAAATTTACAGTTAATCTACACTCTTTGATAGCATTTTATTCCTTTCTATCATCTTGTTAATTCGTTTTTACGTCCATTTCCTTAATTTACCTAATGACATATTTTCACGTTAATCTTTTATTATTTACAGGTAACCCTACTCCTCGTAGTTGCATCAAACGCAACACTTCAACATATATCGGATAAAGTGGCAACACATTTAAAGTCATTAACAGAAAAAGCTGCAACCACAATACACAAGCTTGCATCAGACATCGATCCCAAAAAACTGGAACATTTGGATTTCTTACATCTGCTTACAAAGAAACTTGCGAAGAAACCACATCCTGAACTAGTGATTATCGATCCTTACCAAGTTGATAGATTGAAATATTATTTTGAACATAAGAAACCAGTACCACATATAACTCCGATACCGCCTATCAAATATCCTCCACCTCTACCACATAAACAATACGGATTACCGCATTAATACATGTAAATATCAGTTCTAGCAATTCTTTAAACATATGTAATAAAATATAGTATTATTTAATCTGTGGTGTACAGTTAATTATCTGTTTATCAAAGAGTATGTAAGGCTTGTGTTAGTAAAAAACTGAATATTGATACAAGTTAAGTTTTAAACAATAACGCCACGCTATGTTTTAAATCCAGGCTAGAAATTTAGTAGAGTATCAAGTTATTTAGGAAGCTAAATGTGTCTGAACGAATATGAATATGTATTTTCTCACCAAATAACTCGAAACTAGGCATTAAACTATGTATTTCATTAAGTTTTGACGTCATATTGTAAGCCGTTTGATTAGTTTGTTATATGAAGTGTTTATTTTATAAACTTTACCAAATAAATATTAGATTGTACAAATCGAATGAAGACTAAACAAAAGGAGATTTAAATAAAAGAAAACATTAAATAAAACAGTTTTATTTACCTCTGTATTATAAAATAGAAAGCATTATTTTAGGATACATAAGCTATTATATAATTAACTAAAAAATCTATAACTAAGATAAAACACAATTCACAAAGTAAAAATTACTTTCCAATGTCCAGATCATTTAATAACTTATCGAAAACATCGGTATTATCACTTTTTTGGATAAAATCACTCAAACCATTTTGAAAATCACCGAATTCCTCCGACTGCGTGTCAACTAAACCTAGTTCTGTCAAAAGTGACAGGTTGTCAGTTTCGTTTTTGACGTCGCTGTCAAACGCGTCAGCTGTCAGTTCGGGTAACAACTGTTCTGTGTCAGCGTCATTGTCTCTGGTCTGTCGCCGGTTGTTTACTTTTCCCTCCTTTTCTTCATCTGACGCGTCGTGATATTCCTGAATTTCTTTACCGTATTCTAGATCTTCGTCGTCTTGATTGTCCTAGAAATATGGATTTTTGGTTATATTATATGAAATATCAAATCTATCTTAATAATTTTACCTATATAAGGGTGTAATTACAGATTTGGAAATACAATTTATTTATTTTTTTACTAGTTTTTGTCACCGATTCCGTCCGTGGGGAATTAATAAAAAAACCATGTATCTATGTATTCTTTCAGACTATGTCTATGTCAAATTTCATCCGGCTTTCTATCAGCCGTTTAGGCTACAAATTCTAATATCCATCCATTCATCCACACAATATTAGTAATTATGACTATTCTTATATTTTTCCATCTAATCAACATTTTTTTTATCGTAGTTCAAAATACCACTACTATTATTTGATTTTCAACCTTTGTAGATGTATGTTTTTTTTAATAAACAGTATTTTTAATTACCTGCATTATCTGTGCCGTAGATTTGTACTGGAAGGCATTCTGTGACAAGTCCACTTCCACTGGGAACAATGTCGAGTTCTCTTTCAGATGCTCCACCGTCTGACTGGTGGGAAAGAGATAGTTGCCATTATTAAAAATAAATTAACTCAAAATTTATAATACTGTATTAAAAATATTTAAAATCTAATTTTTTACAGCTGTACATGTACAAAATAATAATATGTATAATAGAAAACAACAGGTTTTATGAGTTTTTGAATTAAATAACATAGGTAAAATAATTAAAAACACTTACTTATGGTAGACCGCTAAACCTTGTATAAATCTCTTGAGTTGATATGCGACGTCCTGAGTCTTCTTATTGTCTAAAAGTTCCAATTTCACCATAACATCTGACCTAAGACGTGCGAACCTAGTTCTTGCTTCTTGTCGACATCTTAAAATCAATCTAAACAAAATATATAATTATTAAATACATGAATAACTGAAGATTTTAGACAGAATAAAATTATGTTAACACTTAGAAGCTTATTTTTAAGCGCCTAATTATAATAAATAGCAATGTTTCAGTTAAAACATTTTATTATTGCTATTTTTTTTCTGAAGGAACAATCAATTTAATTATTAAATCAGAAAAAGAAATCAATAGCTTTTTTATTTACCTGTATTCATAATTGCCAGTTTCGACTCTATACAATGGTTCTTGTAGTGCATTATATCCATATTCCTCGTCATCCATTTCCTTTACTTTGAGACAGTACGAGAGGTATTCAAACTTCGTGTCCGCGTATTTCCTTATAGTTAACTTTGTATCGGGTATCGCTTTGTTAAGGTATGTGCCCATATCTGATAAAATCTGGATAAAAATGTATAAATTTGTTAGTAGGATATTAAACAAAAAGAGGTTAATATGATATAATCCTACAAACTGGTTAGCATCGATTCTTATGGGGATTTAAAAGGAAAATTATTATCTACAAGAACAAAACAACTTATATACAAAATACAGTGAAACCTATAAAAAAACTTCCTTTATTGCAACAATGCAAATCATTTGAAGCACACTAAGACTTTTTTATTCACGATTCTTTAGAGATTCTTAGACTTCGATTCACAATTACGATTTCTGCAAATGGTTAGGTATTGTTTCGACTCTAATGATTTTATCCTTGAAATAACACTGATTTTTCATACTGGTTAAACAAAAAATTACCGAAAACGAATTGAAAACAGCTCAACTCATGTTTAGTCTTCCAGTGCCGGCACCGACAATTTTAGAACTCATCCAGGGTCCATCTTGAGTCATTATAATATGTTTTTACTAATGTCTCGCGAAAGTTTGAATTTAATAACTTACCGGTTTCAATGTTTTTAACATTTTAATGCCATCTCTCTCCAGCGTGCGGTGGTACTGACCGAACTTAGTGAAGGCCTCAGAAGCGCGCGCCTGAGGCTCCCTCACACCGATAGCAGCGAACACATCGCCCAATGCTTTATATGTTTGTAATAGATCGAAGTAAGATTTTAACATTCTGCAAAGTAAAATTTTTGTATGGAATTTTTATATCTAAGCGCCTGTAGAAAAAATATAGGTTAAGTTTTCAGATCGATTTTTTTGCTTTTATGCCAGTGTTGTTTAAAATATTTGTATAACTATCTATGAAACTATTTTTTTTGTTTTTTTCAAACAGAGTTTGTTTGATTTTATAAATCTTACTAATCTATCTAACATTATAAATGTAAAAGTTTAGATGGATGGATGTTTATTAGAGTTTGTAGGCTTAACGCCTGAACGGATCTTGATTAAATTCAGCACAGATGTCGAGGATAGTCTGGAAGACCTCATAGACTATTTTTTTGTTTTTTTTTTTAAATACCACGCGGACAGAATCATTGGCGAATTTTTTTTTTGTTTCTAGGAAAAATAAATATTTAAGTAAAAGCTTTTTTACCTTTTAGCGTTCTCTACTAATCTTTTATATGTATTTTCAGTGTCTCTCATTTCGTTAAGTTTAGCGACGAGAGTATCGTTGCAGAGTATAGCTCTGGAGAAGCCTAACGCGTCAGCAGTACCCGCGGACATATTCTCTACCAATCTGTGTTTCATCTTCTTCATTATGATATCCAATGATTTACCCTGCTTTGGATCCGCGTGAAGTTTGTTGTAGTTAATCGTTACTTCGTCCTGAAATATTACAAATAAGAAACTTCTTACTAATATTATATGGATGTTAGAAAATCTCCTAAAGATTAGAAGATTCTTGATAAAATATGGCACATTTGTATTTATTAAGTTGTTTTTTTATAAACTGCGCCAACGGAGTAGCTCTCGACAGCTAGTTAAATATAAAATGTACTGTTAAAATAAATTTAATAAAAAAACTACAAATCCCAATGTCTTTTAATTTAAGGGTAAAAGACATAGTTGTTGATCATAATCCTAATGAAAAAAATAATTAAACTGTTTTTTTTTTTTGTTTAAAAATTTTGCTTGCCCTAAACAGATTACATTTCACTGTACCTTAGCATTTTGTATCATTTTCGCGACTTCAACTTTAGTCTTTCCCTTCACACTCTGTCCATTAACACCCACTAATTCGTCTCCGCTTTGTAGAGTTCCATCTTTTGAAGCCGGCGTGTTGTCGAAAATCTGCAATGGAACAAATAGGAAGTAGAGTACTTATTTTGTATTTTATTAACCTAATGTAAAACGGACATTTCTATGCCTATAATGTAGCAAACTTAGCGCTAATTGCTCTGTAGAATCTCAATATTTTTTTAATAAATAAGCACTTGACTATAATTCTTTGATATTTTGTGATGTGGTCGAAACATGGTACACGGCAGTCTAGTAAATGCCTTTCTGAAGGTTTCCACGTGACAATTGGAAGGAAATACCCCAGCATCTTCTTTCTATTCTTTCGTTATCAATAAACAGTGAGATGGACTACTTAAATTTGTCCAATACCAATTTTAGAATTTAAGGAACTTACCTGGACGATATACAAGCAGGGGCAGAGTGGAGCCCCACCGCCGATACTGATCCCGATTAGATTCTTCTCATCCTTGCTGAGTACAACACTACCTGACGTCACCGTCATGCCCCTACAACATTTAATACTTAGGAAATTACAGACGATGTGTGTTTGTAACTTATTCTTGATGCAACATAAAAATAGTATGATCTTATGGTAATTGAATTTATAATTTTCTAGTTAATGTACAAAGAAAAAAATACACACGATATAATAGTTACAAAGGTACGTATGCAATTAGACTACGTTAATTTATTTACAGTTAAAATACAAGCTAAAATAAAACTAGCACAAATGTGTTTTAACACACGTATGTACATATTTAAACAAAATGCTATATAAAATTAACGCGAGTAATAGTAAAAGGAAGAAGTAGTAAGAGATGGTTGGATTGCGTAAGTGACATGATCAAATAGAGAGTGACGACTAAACCTTGGTGAGCTGACCCTATAAGGACTAGGAGACGATAATTAAATAAAAGATTTATTTATGAAACATTCTTTATTCGTAAACATCTAGTAGTTTCTGCTCTACATTAGCAATTACTCTAGCAGTTCTTTTTCAACTCTACCACTTAACTCGAAAATGGTGAGACTAGCTTAAAATTTTCCCTAAGCATTTCTAGCTGTTTGTAAAAAAACTTGCATCAACTCTTGATATTGTAGTAAATATCTCTCCTGTCGTAAATCGTTGAAGATGCAATCTGTTGAACCTTGATTGTCTTCTTTAGAAGTACTGAAATTGTGGAACGGTTGTTAATTATTTATCTATAAATAGTTTTAGCAAAAGTTAATAGTGTTCTTCCTTTATTATACATATATTTAATTTAGTTTGCTATTCCCTTGGTTGCAGTCTTACACAAATGTGATCACAGAATGAGAGTCAAAAGGGCTTGAATCATGTAACAAATAGATCCTTTAGGATCTTCTATAAAAGAAGTTTTTCGATGTAGAAAATATTCTGAAAACTTAATCACATTTGCTAAAAGTCTTAGACTAATTTCAGATTATAAAATCACAAAAAAAAAATTAAAATCGCGCAAAATTACGAGGTCTTGGAGTAAATTACCCCAAATTACTAATTTACTCTAAGACCTTGTAATTTTGCATGATTTTATAGTTGAAACAAATAGCTGCACTTTATACCCGTTTTTACTGCGCTAAAAAGGATACAATATTTTACACTCTTATCTCTGAAAGTGTAACACTTTCACTGTATGACATCATTTTGTGGTATAACACTATTGGACACAAAAAATAGCAGTATCGTTATTTTGTAAGTAAATATGTGAATACTCACCTCTCTATGTTATTCAATTCATTTTCAGGGTTTGGTGAATCCAAAACGATAGAAGCACTGATAAAATATTTTAAATCAATTCATATTAAAAACTTAACACAAAATAAAATAAAAACCAAACAGATTTTTTTACTTTTTTCTTGTTCTTACCTCTCATCCAAATCCATAGATAACAATAAATTATTTTTTCGTTTCCTTCCAGCGCGGCTAAATACACAAAAGTAAAATAAAAGAAAATAAAAAAAGTAAAAAATATCCTACAAAAATTACGATAAAATCGTATAGTTAGTTTTTTTGGTCTAATAAAGTATGATATTTGTATTTTTTTTTAAACATAAATACACTATTTTGTAAACACATTTGTATTTTTTGATACGTTGCATTTTGCATAGGTAAAAAAAGAACTCTATGTAGGACTTTTACTACGTAAATTAACTAAAAACTTAAAACACACATTATCTGTATCTAATTGCGACATTACATACTAAATCTAAATTTACGTTATTTATTGAATAAATTGTATATTTACATTTTATCCTCATACATAGTATGAAGTAGTAGTGATGAAAGTTGCGGATAAATTTTCGGTTCAAACGGATAAATATGATTACTTTGCCACATTCTTTCACTAACAAAACGATAAAAAACACAATATAATACGTCTAAATTATTCTTCGAATATTACACAAACAATAGATATTTCTGCAACACAAAAAGGAAGGATATTACGTTGACTGATAAGCAAAATAGTCGATAACATTTGTATTAAAAAAGTCAAACAACTCACGTACATTTTATCCTCTTCGAAAAAGTAATCATCGTCGTATTCCTGCATCATTTTTATTTTTTATTAGTAAAATAACACTTTACAAAAACATTTGTTGTGCTTCTTTAATTAATTGTCAAAATTATTGATTTTTTCCATTTCGTATTTACGTGGGAGGAAGCGTCGGTAAAACAGCACGCATGCGCAGTCTGGAACGAAAGTGACACAAATTTCAAATACAGGAGAGTAAGAAAAAAGCGACAAGAAAGGTGTGGATTTTTTCTATGTGTTGATTAAATGTTATCCAGTATAATGGTGAGGTGAGAGTTTAACTAAGGGCTAATGTAATATGATTATGACATTGTAATAGTTTCTATAACTATCTTAATTTCTTCGGTACTCCAGGGGGTGGGGGAAAGCCAATTACCATCTTCACCTGGCAATACTCGTGTTATCAACTATGAATATTTGTATTCATGCTAACAAGAAAATTACCAAACTTTTGTTGACTCTATAATTAGTGTATTTAAATTACTTAACACCGTAGACAAAATCGATACAAAGCCAATACAAAAAAAAAATTGTGAAAGACTGTCGTGTAAGGAATGGCGGCATTCGGCAGTAACTGACGCAACACTATCAAGTCAGCCAGGCATAATAACCAGATGATTGTGCAATAAAGCCTGAACTGTTTTTAAATGTAACGTTACGTCCATTTCGCTTGCACGGACAGTACCGTAGAGCACGCTATTCGAGTTGTTAACTCTCTTTTTAAAAATGAACAAAGTTATTGTGAGTGTACTTTTTAATTGACGCTATCATGAAATACCAAATGACATTTATCAATGGTGCTAATTAATTTAAATTTAAATTAGTCATAAATTTTGTGTGGATTCAGTGATTGTTTAAATATTTATTTCATTAGTAAAATATATCTGGTATTTCATGAAGTAGTTAATTTATTTTATGTTTTTTTTTTCGTGATTTTTGTGCAGGTAAAATCTCCCGCTAAAATGTGACGTTTATTTTTTAGTTACCAATTTGTCTATACGTGCTGTTTTACCGACAAGTTTTATGTGGCGATGTTGGCCCCATTGGAGGGTTTATAAGATCGAATCTGGTTGGTCATCCCGTCATCCATGAGGAACAGAGTTGGATCTTCGACCCTGATGTGGCTTTGCGAAGAAGAAAGCAGTTTATCGAACTAAATGGTGATAAGGGAGACAAATTGATTGAGAGACTCGGTTTAGGTATAGATGGGTACGACGAAGAGAGATTAAAAATACAAAGGGTTAGAGACGAAGGGCATTTGGGTGGTTTAAATGCTTTATTACCATAAAATTAGTTTGAAAAAGGATTAGTTTTAGAGCTTAAGAACTAATTTTGTTATTTCTAGTCTACACTGTATTCAATAATTAAAAGTATTAACTTATCTTTTTCTTTTTTTTAATTGTCATTGAATTTGCTGTAAATTTAAGTATGTTATCTCGCTTACTCTCTCTAAAATACCTGAGACCACTATATAAGAATATTTCTCAAGTATTTCAATATTATTAGATGTTATTGTGCGGTTTTGCGACCAAAAATGTAGATACCGACTGTCTAAATACGGTTCAGAGAAACAAAGGAAGGTTGACTAAAACACAAGTTTATTTGAATACTTCGATAAGAGCTTGGTTTACTTTTTAAGTTTATAACAAATAGAGTCTCTTTTTAAATATTTACTGTAAACATAACTTACTATTATCATAAAATTGGTTCTGTATTTGTTTTATTTAAATTATTAATATACATTTTTTACAATCATGTAGCCGACGTTCGGATTAATGAAGTCAACCACAGATTAAATTTCAAATAATGTGACGTATACTATTGATATCTCTGTTTAATCAAAGAGAGTAAAAGGGATAGTATTATCATAAACATAAACAATGTCTATTCACCTAATAATTCAACAATCCTACATTACTTTTACGTAGATGGTGACCTTCGTTTGATTTTTGCAATACAACTAATGACCTTAGAATAATTCTTTGAAAATATAGAAATGTAACCTTTGTTTAATGTCATTAATTTACCGAAACATGTAAAAGTTTTTTTAAGGTGTATGGAAGAGACAAATATATTCTTAGACAGATTATTCATCTTGGAAAGGAACAAAAGCATGAAATGTGAGAAAAAAACAGAAGCGTTTTAAAACGTTCGTATGGCTGGTGCGTTAATTAGTGCTAGTGTGAATGAGGGATTAGTCGTTTCAAGAGAAACCTGAACGTAGTGTGAATAATTTTGGGTAAAATTAAAAAGAAATCAGATTAATTCTTCAGTTTCTACTCGGTTAAATACATGGACGGTATTACAAAAGGAGAGATAAATTGTTTTTTAATTACTTATTGACTAGCTTTACAGAAGATGCATTTTGATTGCGATATAAAGAATTTTGAAGGTAACATTCAAGCTTGCTAATTATGTATTGGGCAGGCAGGTTGCTAAATTGAGTAACTTGTTGCATTTGTTTGAATTGTTTTTATAATATTTATGATATTTATCAACTGAATATTTTGAGGTGTTTTATTAATTTATCCTTGAAGTTTTTTAGCGTTATGCTCGTATAGTTTATTTTTTGCAAGTTCTTTGTAGAATAAAAAAGCAATTTATTTACGTCGTTTTACACTCCTAACATCATACAGTAAAATTAAACGTAAAATTGTATTAAATCAAATGAAATGTTACAAATATCAGCAAAAAAGCCAACATCACGCGGTGTTCCCAGGCGGTCACCCATCCAAGTACTGACCGCGCCCGACGTTGCTTAACTTCGGTGATCGGACGAGAACCGGTGTATTCAACGTGGTATGGACGTTGGCGACAACAAACTTAAAAGTTTTGTACTGAACATACATTTTTTTTTACATTTAGAATCTAGATATTACATTTCTATATCCTCTTTTATTTATATAAACGCGACAATCTAAGTTTACCTTTTAGGATCTTAAGAAAGCTTAAGTTTAATAGTTTAAACAAAAAGTAAGTTTTGTTTCTATAATTATAATTAGTCTACACATTTTATGAAAAATGATAAGTTTTTTGGATATCAATGTAATAGAAATTGGTAATGTAATATCACACATAGGAAATCTTATGCAATTTATAGATTACATTAATTTCAACTTGCAAAAAGCAAATTTTGCAAATAATTTTCTTACCTCACACTAGATGGCGCTAATTCGTAGTTTGTATCATTTGTGTTTACTTTAACGCCATCTATGAGTATGTTTCGAAACTTACTTGTTTTCTTAAGATCCTAAGAGCTGAATTTAGATTGTCACGTTTATATTAATAAAAGAGGATATAGAAATGTAATATGTAGATTCTAAATGTTATAAAAATGCGTGTACAGTACGAAACTTTTAGGCACTTTGTCGCCAACGTCCATACCACGTTGAATACACCGGTTCTCGTCCGATCACCGAAGTTAAGCAACGTCGGGCGCGGTCAGTACTTGGATGGGTGACCGCCTGGGAACACCGCGTGATGTTGGCTTTTTTTGCTTACAATTTTATTATGCGTTCATTTTTTCACATATTTGCAACTAATACATACACGATTCATTAAAGTCAGGTTCTTATGTTTTTTTTTATAAATAAATTTGATATTTGGTTATTTTTCTTCAGTGATTTTTCATTTCAGATTTTTTTATCTATCTCCTAATATGATTAAAGCTACAATAGGGTAGGGTATAAAATACAATAGTTCATAATTATTTCATTTATTCATTTCATTCTTAAGATACATTGTCGAGGAATATTCTAATAAACCTTACATTAATGACGAAAAAGTTATTTAAAACATTACAAGGAATAGGACAACTAGGTAAATACTAAATACAAATATATTTGGATAATAATTTTAGGTTATTCGCAACCGTCATCCCACTCTGTCCCCACTTGAGAATGAAGTTTCATCCGTCACACCTTTTAGTCCCACTATCACCAAGGTGACAGATGGCGCCCTTATAAAATAAAATAAGTTCCAACCGTCACGTCGTAAAAGTGGGACGAATGATACTTTTTATTCTCATCTGTCTTCATATGGGGACAGAACGGGGTGACGGTTGAGAATAATTCATAATTTTGTGGTAATTTTAATCGTAAAGTGTTAAAACAAAAATTTTGCATATTAAAATTAAAAAAGATTCTTTATGCAAAGATCATTTAACAAAAACAGAGTAAATCCAGAAATGGCTGAGAAACGCTGCAAAAAACATCAATTTTGAATTTTATACTAAAAGGTTTTATAAGATCAGAAATTCAAAATTTTAATCTTCAAAACACTTTAAAGAAGTCATTTGTGCAAAACTTTTTATTAGACAGCATTTTTTGAGACATGAAAAATAACCTAATACCCAAAGAATATTTTGCACTTAGAATAATATTGTTTTATCTGTGCCAATCACCTAGAATTCACGTCTTTTTTATTCTCTATCTCTTTCTTTAGTTTACATAATGAAAGGGATAGGAATATACCAATTATGGGAATATAACATGATACATCTGTCGAAGACTCAAAATAGTTTGATTTTATATTTTTTAAACCTCCGAGAGATTTATCATGAAAATAATGTACACTTATCCATTTATATTGGATAATTTTAGACAAATCTAGGAAAAAACCATTTAAATGCATAAAAGGCTCGTGGTAATATATTACACACTCCTAAATTTTTATGTTTGTGGTACATAATACCTGAATTAAATTTCGAAAGTGTCTTTTTCTGTAAATTTATCTAAAACTATCAATTAATAAAATATTATAGAGTAGAAATTGTCATAAATGCATAATCATATGAAGGGTTTATCAATAAAAACTAAATGTATTGTGACTTTTTCTCTTAAAATAATTTTAAAGTAATAATACAAGACATTGTGTTGGTCGTAAAATGGATTTATTTAGTAAGGCACCTCGAGTTTTTGGTTTTTATTACTGGAAATAATTAATTATACTTTGTGACATGATTTGTGACGGAATTTAATTCAAACACAAGTATTATAACTAAAAATGATTATACAATGTTTGTAAACGGAATTTATATTACAAGTAAACTGTTATTCTGAAAATTAAATCAGACGCCATCTATTGTCTTAAAGTAGAAACTGAATTGTGATTTTTAGTGATTCCTTGCAAATAGAGAGTACAAATATTTTCTTAAATATACCGATTCTAGAGAAACTGGTAGTTAACTATTACTATATTCTTACATTCTAATACGAACACCAAAGAAAAATTACCGTAATATGGCATTACAATCATAAATAACGATTTATAATTATTCTTAAAGAGATCAAATTACACTTTTTATTGAAAATTGTTATCATAGCTGAATTTAAAATAATGTAATAATAGTTTTCGATAAGGTCAAACTTCACAAGCGACAAAGTTTTTTGATTACTTTTTGCGGATTAGCGCCATCTTGTATCAGTATTATAAAACCGGATTATTGCCAATGTTTTGTAAAATAATTTCAATTCCAATTTTCTTCTCAAATTACGGGAATTTTCATACATGATTACACGTGTTTTGCTTTTATTTCTTACACAGATGCTGATATTTGAATAATTATTAACTGACAAGCAGCGCCATCTAGTATCAAATTGTTGTATTATAATTCGTTATTTTCGTCCTCGTGTAAATTTCGAATTCGTATCTTCTTTTTCCGGTCTACAAAACGTGTCTTCATTACGTCGTGGACATCGCGGACCTGGAATTGAAAAAATAATTAATATTAATAAACAATTAATAATGTCAAGGCTAAAACAGGCAGCTCTTAAACATAAGATATTTACAAGTTTCAGATATAGCACCGAATATAGAGTTTATTTTTACAAAATAAATGTAATTGTAAAATCTACAATTAATATTTCAATTTTAATGTTTTTCTTGTAAAGAGCTTTATTTCTTAAATTAACTAATAATAACTAATAAATTACCTATACTAATAAGGTTATGATATGAAATATTAATTTTTACTCAAAGAACGCTGCTGGGTTGCTGAAGCTTCCATTTATTTTATTACTAGCTTTCGCTCGCGACTCCGTCCGCGTGGAATAATGAAACAAAAAGGATTAACCTATCTATACCAAATTTCATCAAAATCCGTTCAGCCGTTTAGGCTACAAACATCCATACTTCCATCCATTTAAACTTTCACATATATGATATTATTATGATTTAACTCATTAGTGTTAAGTCTAACTAAGCTATCAACAGAGTTACGTAGTTCGGAAACTTATTAATCAAACCAATAACACTAACGAATGTTTAAAAAAACTGGGAAACCGGACATAAATATTAAAAACGAATAGATATTTCGCGAGGTGTGCCCTAAGGTCAGTCGACCACTTTAAGTGGGACATATAACTTTAAAAGATTTAAGATAAGCTTGTCCACTGGCAAAGTTGAACTGGGTCGTTTAAAAATTAGATGGACGTCTATCACACAGTCGGATTAGTTTAACGATATTTTATATATTACTAGCTTTCGTCCGGGGGTCCGTCCGCGTGGAATTAAATACGAAAACAAAAGTAAGTAGCTTACGAGTTCTTCCAGACTATCTTCTACATCTTTAACAAAGTTTATCTAGACTTGTTTAGTCGTTTAGGGTATAAATGCTATCCAATCAATACATCCATCTAAATTTAATTGTGTTAGATGGCAGTTAGCAAGTAACCGAAAATAACTCATAATAACTATGAATAGAAGGATTTCTAAAGTTTAATTTAATTCCTGGATATAATCTCGATGTTAATACGGTTTACAAATTAAATGTAAACATAAATTTTATGAAGCGTGTGAAGTGTAACATTTTTAATTTCACACTAATAGTTTAAGGAAATATTATATTGATTTACGTTACATTATGGTGTGATAGGCGGCCGGGTTATCCTACATAACGGTTCGTACAAGTTCCTTTTTCGGACTGTGGGAGCTATCTTTCTGGTTTGACTGATTTGTAGTCATCGTGGTTAGATCTGGGACTTTAGTGGTAACCTTAATACAGTTTAAGTTATGTTGGACATTTTATATTTTGAAGCTTTATTTGGGAATCTTCAAATCGATGGCATCGATAACATTTGCAATTGAGAATTTGACAAATGTAAACAATCATATCTTACTAACATTTAGATGGATGTTTGTTAGCGTTTGTAGCGTAAACGGCTGAACGGATCTCCATGAAATTTGGCACAGGTTTAGAGCATAGTTTTATCCCGGGAATAGTTACGGTTCCTGTGGGATTCATTAGTTTTTTTATGTTTACTCGATCATTCTGCAATGGTTCAATATATCTTATTGAAATTTGGCACAGATATCAAACAAAGTCTGGAGTACACGTGGGATAAGTTTCATTCCCGAGAAATGTCCGGTTCCCTAGGGATACGTAGCTTTTTGTTATTTATATTGTTATTTATAAAGTATGTAAAATATTATCCATCGCCTCATTTCATAAACGTTTTCCATAATCCATATTTAATTAAATGTTATTGTAGTTCACGCCACTTTTTTCGTTCTCTTTGCGTCGGCTATAATTCTAAGGCTGTACATAATTCAAATATTATTTATAGACGCGACGTCAAACTGGATTTAGAAGAAAAAACTTGATATCGAGATACTTTTTGTTTTCTTAAACGTTGAATAGGAGAATAGCTATCAGTTTATGGATGACTAGATGTTGCTTGCGACTTCGTATGCGCGAAATTAAAAAAATAATAAAAAATGTAGCCCATTTTACTCAGTGATAACCTAGCTTTTTAATGGTGAAATAATTTTTGTAATCGGTGCAGTAGTTTTTGAGTTATTTTAATACATAAAAATCTAAATATTTCCGCTTTATAATATTAGTATAGACTAGCTCTTCCCGTGCGACTTCATCCGCATGAAATTATGAAAATCTTGTTTTTACATTACATATGTCAAATTATCAATAGCAAATGTCAAAATGATATGACATGACAAACCTCGTCAATCTTGCTTCCTGGATGTTGGCAGCAACTTATGGTCTCTTTCCCACATTAGACTTTTTATCCAAAATATTTACCCCTTAAGTTTAGTTAAGCAAAAATATATAGCCTAAAGCGTGACGTAAGTGTAGGGCTTTTTATTAAAAAAAGAATTATTCAAAAATATGCTGTAATTGCTGACATCTTAGGTAACAAAGAAGTGTGTGTTTAGGCTTTATTGTAATAGTATAGATAGAGAGAATTATCTTTTGCTGGACATCCTTTGTTTAGAGTGAGTCAGTGACGTCATTTTTAAGCTATATATCTATCAGCCAGTGGTGGGACAGGCCTTTAGTTGTTTTGTTTTCAAAAATCTGTCTACATTGCCGACCTTACAAAGGATTTTTTTAACATTAAATGTCCAACTTTGATTAAAGGCGCGGTCCATGTCGTGCTATGTAAAGGCGAGGCATCGCAATTAGTTGCCGTAATGAAATATGGAATTGCCCTTGATGTTTGCATGTTATAATCCAGATTCATAAATTATATTTAAACGTCAATATAAGCTGTTGCCCGCGACTTTATTCACGTGGAATATGCCTGTTACTGAGGGTTAACATAGCTTTTTAATGGTGAAAGAATTTTTGAAATCGGCCGAGTAGTTTTTGAGTTATTTCAATAAATACAAAAATACAAATAACTTGGCGAGGAATTAAAAGAACTTAGTAACCTTGTGTTATTTTATCGAAATACGTAAAGCAGTTTTGGATATATGTTTTATATCCATCCAAACTTTTGTTTTTTTTTTACGGTTTATTGAACGTCGGTAATCTTATTACTTACTAACATTATAATGCGGTTTAACATGGATGGATGGATGTTTGTTAGAGTTTGTAGCCTAAACTGCTGGACGGATCTTCATGAAATTTGGCATAGATGTAGAGGATAGTCGGTAAGAACACAGAGGCTACCGGCTTTTTTTTAAAATTCCCCGTAAATGGAGTCGTGGGCAGAGGCTATTAGTATATAAAACTGAATAAGTATCTCTAATAAAACTTAACTATAAATGTATTTTTAATTACATTCTTGCGAGCGTAACGAATTATTCCAAGTATTTTAATATGACCAACGAAGGCTGGGCTTTTAATTAGACATGCAAATTGTACGTAGACTTAACTTTCTGCATTGCATTTGACAGAAAGAATGATAATTACGAAGCTATCCGTATCCATTAATTCTTTATTACTTTGAGGTTGGACTTTTTTTACGAATTTCAAAATGGCGACCGAGTTATCAAACGTAATGGCATCGAAAAACAGTTTGGCTTATTGGTTAATTTCATTTGGGATATTTATTTAGAAAATATGAAAATGCGTGTATTTTCTGTAGTTATATAGTTTCGATTAAACAGAGTTTTCGGATGTTGGAAGCCTTTTAAATCAGATTTTATTTGAGTAAAATCTTAAGTTTAGATGGATGGATGGATGGATGGATGTTTGTTAGCGTTTGTAGCCTAAACGGCAGAACGGATCTCCATGAAATTTAGCACAAGTTTAGAGCATAATCTGGAACAACACATAGGCTACTTTTATCCCGGAAATAGTTACGGTTCCCGTGGTTATTAATATATATAAATATTAATTTAGTTTTTTAATGTTCACTCGATCATTCTGCAACGATTCAACATATCTTGGTGAAATTTGGCACAGATATAAAACAAAGTCTGGAGTACACATGGGATAAGCTTCATCCCAGAGAAATGTCCGGTTCCCGAGGGATACATAGCTTTTTGTAATTTATATGTTTTCTAATACCACGCGGAGGAAGTCGCGGGCAACAGGTCGTAATATTATATATGCGAAATTTTAGATGGATGTTTGTTAGTGTTAGGCCTAAACTGCTGAATGGATCACAATGAGATTTGTCTTAGAAGTATAGGATAGACTGGAAGAACACATGGGATATTACTATTGTTTTTTTAGCTCCACAAAGTCAAGGGGCAAAGCTAGCTATATAGTTATAATTTTTAAGTCAATACGGCTCCTCTAAGTACGATCATATCTATAGAGCGTTTAACACCGTAGTCCATAATGTCTAAAGCTAGTCAATTAACGCAATAGATGGCTCAGTATTTCCTCATCAAATGCCTCGCATGACATATCACGACGAGCGAAATGCCTGCGACGCAGTCGTCTGTTCAACTAAACAAAATTAAAATCATGTACCAGAAGGGAAAAGTTAACATTATTGATTGTAAACGTTAATTTATATTGCAATAGAATTACACTGTCTTTTAACAGTGGTAGAGCTTTAACATCTCTGCACGAATGTGTCGGCTCGCCCGGTGTAATACCACGACCACACAGACAGGCGTGAAGTGGGAGCAATTCCGCGTAGTCTGATGAGTGTGGTGCTGGAGGCATAATTTTAGCCCGTTTCTCGTTTCATCCTTTTCTTATAAAGAAAGGATTGGATGGGAAAGTGGATTTGACGGTGGATGAAATACATAGAAACACTCTTTATGTGCGTATCCTCCTCCATCGATTTAGGATAGGCAACGCATCTGCAATTGAGGATGTCTATGAGCAGTCGCTTCGCCATTTTGGTGGACTTAGGTGTCAGCTTGCTCGTTTGCCACCTTATTGTATAAAAAAACTCTCTACTAGTGGTTCATTACCCTATAGGGATATATAGAACGTGATAGGGTCCACGGCAGTCCCAGCAGAGGACTACGGTAATGGTAAACAAAGTTGACAACTTGTGAACTCTCAAGGAGAAATAAGTAAATTAAAGTATAAATTTAGAATATCATTAGAAACACTTACCAAAAAAAATTAAAGATACAAAGTGGGCACCCTCTTCTGTGCTCCAAGAGACAGTTTGTTTCCAAGTTTCTTGTAGCTTTCGTTTTTACTCCTACATTTTGGTTTTTCGTTCGCTTCGACCGGACAACCTTTAAGCTCCCAAACGAGATTTGTTAAGGACTTAGGTCTGCTTAGTTTTCTACATCTTTTCTCTGGCAATTTTGGTCCATTTCCTGAATCACCTGACGTCCTTCCACCTGAATGACTCGAGTCTAATGTGCCATCTAATTCCATCGCTTGGTGAATGTTAGAAAGACTTTTGTATCTTATATTGAAAATAGGGGAATCCCCTTTAGTTAAGGGTCTTATTGGACTAGTAACAGGACTAGGTGTTTCCTTGGTTGGGGAATGACTTTTCTGACTGAAGACCATCCGACTTTTGTTGTTGTTGACGCTGTTCTTAATGAATAGTTTAGGCAGATTGTTAGGAGCCGGAGCTATGGAACATTTTTCTTTGTAAACTGTTATTGGCGTTTCTTTAGGTGTGATTGCGGTTTTGCGCGTTCGCTTTTCAGCCTTTTGGATGTTGAGTGGTTTCTTTGTGGGTATCGTTTCTATGGGTGGTGGTTCTGGTTTGATTTCTGTGATCAATGGCATGTGTATTGGAGTGGCGGCTGGCGATGCCGGTGCGGATTCATGTCTTGTCGGTTCATTGGAATATGATGCTTTTATATTTTTAGGGAGAGGCGCAAATCCTCTAACGTAATCATATATCTGATCGATTTCGTCTATATATTCATCGGGAATGCTATTCTCATCTCTATGGCTACTATATATGTGATTGTGACGTGGCATATGTTTATGCTGGTTAGCGTTATCAGACGACATACTTCGCCGTAAGAAGTAACCGGTTTTTATTAATGGTGGAGCATGTAGGGGAGCATTCAAAAGTCGTTTAGGATCACCCAATTTACCATCCAACACGTGTATACGATCGACTACTTCTACAAGCAAACGGTTGCATTTCTCAACCAGTCTCGAGAACTCCATGAAATTTTTAATGTGCTCCTCATTTTTGCATCTTAACATTTTCAAAGGTGCTGCAAGAGGTAGAGCGACTAACGCGTTTCCTTCCTTTTGTAATGGTAATGCGAATACGTGATCCTCTTCGAAGAAGGATAGAAGTCTTAGTTCTGGAACGAAATGACTGGCGCTCTTC